TGTCTGTCTGTGTCTGTCTGTGTCTGCCTGCGTGTCTGTGTGTGTGTGTCTGCGTGTCTGTGTGTCTGCGTGCACGCTCCCTCCCTCCCCCAGTCCTAGGACTTCAACTCAGGGCCTGAGTGCTGCGCCTTAGCTTTTTCACTTAAGGATGGTACTCTACCACTGGAGCTTCAGCCACACCTCTAGTTCTAGCTTTTTGCTGCTTTATTGGCGATATGGACTAAAATACCAGGCTAGCTTCCAACTAGGATCTCAAGGTCTCAGTTTCCTGAGTAGCTAGGATCATACGCATGAGCTACCAGCACCTGATTCCTGTTTTGTTTGTTTGTTTTGTTTTTATTGCTGCTGTATAGCAAGCTACCCCCAAATCAGAGTCTTGAAATGACACAAATTTATTACATTACATTTCAGAAGTCTACAGTGGGTCTTGTTAGAATGAAGGTGTGGACAGGGTTGTATACTTTCCTGTGGGCCCTATGAGCAAAAACATTTGCTTGCCCCCTCCAACTCCTGTCAGCTCTTCTCAATTTCTTAGTCTGTGGCTCTCATCCATCTTCATAGGTCCTGACATTTACCCAAGTCTTTCTCTTGTCATGTCAGGACAGCCTTTTCTCCATCCCTCTTCTGTTATTTAGTACTGTGACGATTACATTGGGCTCACCAGATAATCCCAGATAATCCCTCTATTTTAAGGTCATCTGATTAACAGCCTAGATTCTCCTATGTCATATTAACATAATGTACTCACAAGGATTAGGATGTGGACATCTTTTAGGGACTGTCATATCTTAATATCTCCCTTTCCCAAGCTACTTTTCCTTTTTTGGCTGTGAAACCATACTCATAGAGCTTCTATCATTTAGAAGCCACTTCTTTCCCAAACTCTGGTTTAATTCCTTCACTCACTCTTCTAGAAAATGGGCTCCTTAGCACCTCTCTGGAGGAAATTTTCTCAGAAACAAACACTTCCCAGTTGCCAAATGCTTGGCCACTTTTCTGCTCAGCTCTTCCTGTGTCCTTTGCTGCTGTGAATATCCCTGTCCTTGACACTGTCCTCCACTTGGCTTTCTTGAATTTCCCTTACTTGTGCACTTTCAAGTCTCCTTTCTTTTCTTTGTCCTCTGTCCCTAGAAAGCCTAGTCTCCAGTCAGTTTATCTTCCATCATTATTCCCAAAATTTTAATTCTGTAGTTTGACTATTTCTTTTTCTTTCTTTCTTTCTTTCTTTCTTTCTTTTTTTTTTTTGGCTGTTTCTGGGACGTGAACTCTAGGCCTGTACACTATTCCTGAGCTTCTTCCTCTCAAGGGTAGCACTCTACCTACCACTTGAGCCACAGCTCCACTTCCAGCTTTTTCTTTGATTAAATGGGAATAACAACCTCATGAACTTTCTGCCCAGGCTGACTTTGAACCATGATCCTTAGAATTCAGCCTTCTGAGTAGTTAGGATTACAGGAATGAGCATCTAACAGCTTTTTCTTTTGAGACAGGCTCTCTATTTTGTCAGGCTAGCCTCTTATTTTTGTTGTTGTTGTTTTTAACTTAGCACTTCATATTTGTTTGACTAGCTTGCTTGGTTGATACCTTATGACTTGAGCCTTGACTCCAGTCTAGGGTCCCTTAACTCATGAACTCTTGATCCCCTTGACTCAGCCTCTCTTGAATAGCTGGGACTACCAATGTGTACCACCTTGCCCAGCCACTACATGAATTCTGAACAAGATGCTCAAGATTTCAAATCTGGCTAGGTGTGGTGGCTCATGCCTATAATCCTAGCTACTCAGGAGGCTTAGATCTGAGGATTGCCATTCAAAGCCAGTCCAGGCAGGAAAGACCCTGAGACTCCTATCTCCAATAAATCACCAGAAAACCGGAAGTGATGCTGTGGCTCAAGTGGTAGAGCACTTGCCTTGAGCTGAAGAGCTGAGGGATAGTGCCCAGGCCAGAGTTGAAGCCCCACGACCGCCAAAAAAAAAAAAAAAAGATTCTCAAATCTAAATCTCTTGCTCCAAAGAACCATTTGGAAAGTAAAATCTAATTCATTTGGAAAAATAGAAATCAAAAGCAAAGCTGTTGTGGTAGAATGGAGATAGAGCTCTGAGCTCTTCATCCTTACTTCAGTGGAGGTTTTTGTGGGTCTTACTGAATATTTTTTTTGTTCCTGTTTCTTGCTTTGTTTGTTTGTTTTTGTGGTGTTGAGGATTGAATGAACCTGGAGCCTTCCACATCCTAGGCAAGTACTTTGCCTCTAAGCTACACCCATGCCCACCAACAGGCATTTTGAAAATCACTGCTTCAGACAAATCCAAACAGTGAGTTGAGTGCAGGGAGGCTGTGATTTGTAGTCTTCCTGGACCACAGCAGTAACAAGTCCCAGCCTCTTCACCTTACTCCTGTACACCACTACACAACACCTGTATGAGCCAAGATTGCATCCTGTCACAGCCCACTGCTTCACATTTACTTTCCTAGACAGGTCTTGGCACTGTGGTGCTCAGTGGACATTTGTTGATGAATGGGCACATAAACTCTGAATCCTGTTGGTAATACTTATGTTTTAGAGGGACAGGCTCTATTTTTCTTGAACATGGTCTGCACAGAATTTGTTTTGTCTTAGGATCCCAAGTCCAGTTCTCTAGTGGCTCCTCATGTTTGTGGACTCAGGGCACCTTTGCAGAGGTGGCCGTGAAGTGCCACCACTTCTCGGCAGCACCCTGCGACATTTGTTTTTGTCATTGCAAAGTGGCTTTTTTGCAGGCCTCATTTCCTTGCTTAATGGCTTTTGCCAGCCTCGCATCTCCTAATGTCAGTATAACTAAGTTTTAAGTAAGTTGATTAAAAAGAAACTCCTGCATAGCATTACTGAATGAATCCTAGGCATCCAATTCCTCATTATGTTTGCTCTGGTTTATGTGAAGGTGGTATGAGACCACCTTTCCTTCACAGCTAGGCCAGAAGTTTAGACGCCTTGTCCTGGTCAGTGTTGGGGAAACATCAGCTGAGGAATTAGCAATGTCCACAAGAGCTCAGGTCTCTCCATAGAGTGCTTTCCTTGTACTGGCTCAGGTGACCTGTATCCCTTTGGATTCCTCTAGGCTTTCAATCTGGACTGCCCTGCTGCCTGGCACATTATATAAGTTGCTCCTGACCTCTAGGTCCAAGGAAAGGGGCACCTGGACTTTTCTAAGCTCACAAAGTTGCCTCATGGCAATGCGTTTAAGGGGTAGGGCATCTGGCTCTCCTTTAGAGTGGGATTAGATTTGCTTTTGGTATGTTTGTTTCAGGCTGCTCCAGGAAGGCCAGAAACCACACGTAATGCATAGATTTTACCCTAAAATTCTAAAATAAGGGCTGGAAATGTTGCTTAGTGGTAGAGTGCTTGCCTAGCATGTATGAAGCCCTGGATTTGATTCCTCAGTACCACATAAACAGAAAAAGCGTGAAGTGGCACTGTGGCTCAGGTGGTACAGTGCTAGCCTTGAACACAGAGAGGCTCAGAGACAGAACCCCTGCCCTGAATTCAAGCCCAGGACTGGTACCCAAATAAAAAAATCTAAAACAAGCCAGATGATTAAGTTTATTTTTGTTTGTTATTTTCCATGTCCTTTGCTTCTTCCCTCTCTCCCTGTCACCTGGAGTGGCCTCAAAGTCAAGATCTTCCCCATCTGGACAAAGTATAGAGCGCCTTCTCAGCACGAAGGCCTTGAGTTCAGTCCCAGTAGTAAAATTCAGTCACTCAAGCAAGCTAGACAGACGCCTCACTTGTAATCCTAGCAATTAATTGATATAAAAATAAAATAGATCCCTTAGCTCAGTCTCCCGAGTGCTAGAATTATAAGCTACAACCATGCCTGGCCTCCTACGTTGAAAGAAGGCCAGTTTGACTTCCTTTACTTTTCTCAGGTTGCTGATCGGTACATGTTTTCTCTGGAGGAGACTAAGAAGTCCAAGGGTCGCCGCCAGCCCTTAAGCAAGCTCCCACGCCATCACCCACTTGTGTTGCAGGAGTGTGTCAGTGATGATGGTAAGCCTGGCCCCCCCTGCTCAGTAGGAGGAATGCAGCCCACTGCACTGCGGCTTGCTCTGACCGGACATCTGAAGACTGGGGGGAATGGTGGGTCTGGGGCTGAGCTGCTCTCTCAGATAATTCTGTACAGAGGATAGCTTTTACTTTTTTTTTTTTAATCTAATTTGCTAATTAGATTTCATTATCAGCTGGAGATGGTATGTACCTTATACGGGATAATTGCATGCAGGTTCTTTCCTTTCTTCTCCTAGGAGGTACAAGGCTGAGTTTTCAGGATAGCAAATTCTGTCAATGATGCCAAGCCCTGTGCTGGATGTGTGGATACAAAGCTAACTAAGATATGTCCGTGCCCTCAAGACGCTCACAGGGTAGTGGGGCAAACTGACAGGTAAACAGATCTACAGAAAGGATGCCTATCCAGGAAGAGGGGACAGCATGAGCCACCATGGAGAAAAGAATAAGAGCATATATGCAGAGGAAGGGTTATTAGATCAGTGTAGCTGAAGATATAGGCATGGGTAGAGAGTGAGTGATAGGATAGGAGGACAAAGGCTAGGTCAAGGACAGTGTTGTTTCTCATAGGCATTCAGGAGCCATTGAAATGTTTGAGCCAGAAGAATGACAGGATCAGATTACCATTATAAAGACTGTTCCTAGAAGCCAGGCGCCAGTGGCTCACGGCTGTAATATAGCTACTCAGGAGGCTGAGATGTAAGGATCCTGGTTCAAAGCCAGCCTGGGCAGGAAAGTCCGTGAGACCCTTATCTCCAGTAAACCACTAGAAAACCGGAAGTGGCGCAGTGGCTCAAGTGGTAGAGCGCTTGCCTTGAGCTGAAGAGCGCAGGGACAGCGCCCAGGCCCAGAGTTCAAGCCCCACGACAAAAGAAAAAAAAAAAGACTGTTCCTTGCTTGGTGCTGGTGGCTCATGCTTATAATCATAGCTAGTCAGGAGGCTGAGATCTGAGAATCACAGTTAAAACTTAGCCCTGGATGACAAATCTGAGACTTTTATCTTCAATTAAACAGCAAAAAGCTGGAAGTGAGGTATTAGTTCAGGTAGTAGAGTGCCAGCTTTGGGGGGAGAAAGATAAGCAAAAGTGCAAAGCTCTTGAGTTCAAACCTCAGTACCAGCACAAGAAAAAAGAAAAGAAAGATTGCTCCTAGTGATTGTGGCTTGAGGATGGCTTTGAGAGGCCCAGGTGGGCTTTTGGAATGGTGCTTGATTAGTGGTAGGAGGGCTGGGAGAAGGGAAGGTAGTGAAGACACTGTTGGCTGGATTTAGTGACTGGCTCTGCAGCTGAGAATATTCTGTGAGGGAGAAAGGGGAGTTGATGAGCTCCCTCCCTCCTTGGTTTGTACCTTTGGTTGGCTTTTGGAAGCCTGAGTTCAGTTTGTCTGTGGAGGATGAGACTTGAGGGAAGTGCAGAGTTATAGCTTATCTTTATTTTAGAATAAGGGAAGTCACTTGTGAACAAGGCAGAAATGGAGATGGCTACGCAGGAGTTGGGCAGAGGAAGGAGGGGATTCTGAAGGAGAGAGACATGAGCAAGGAAGGTCAGGAAGTGTGGCACTGACACTTAGGGGGGAGTGTAGATTCTGGGATCCAGAAAGATGAGCCTTGGCTCAGATGTTAGTGACCAGACCCCACTCTCACAAGAACAGAGACATTTGCATTCTTCACTAGTGCTGGTCTGTTCCCTATCCTGTTTATTCTTTCCTTATCTGATGTCAGAGCTCCATCTCTGCAGGTTTCTGTAGTAGAAACAGAACTACCATGAGAACTGGGTAGGGAAGCAGACATGGAGGTCCTAAAGTCAGTGAGAGTGTCCAGACCAGGTCCTAGGAGTCATGAGTCTGTATTCTAGCCCACCCAGGAGTTTCAGCCTAATTCCATGATTTCTCCCTCAAATCTGTTACATGAAAGAAAGTAACATAGATTGTAGAAAACTGGAAAAGCAGAACAGGTTATTAAAGGAAAAGATTGGCCGTATACCTACCCCTTAAAAATGAACACTGAACATTTTATGCAATCTTTCCTTCCTTTCTTCCTTCCTTCCTTCTTCCTTTCTTCCTTTCTTTCTTTGTCAGTCATGGGCCTGAACTCTGGGCCTGGGCACTGTCCCTTAGTTCTTCAGCTCAAGGCTAGTGCTCTACCACTTGAGCTACAGTGCCATTTCTGGTTTTCTGGTGGTTTATTGGAGATAAGAGTCTCACTGACTTTCCTGCCCGGGCTGGCTTTGAACTGTGATCCTCAGATCTCAGCATCCTGGGTAGCTAGGATTATAGGCGTGAGCCACCGCCACCCAGCCCTCTTTAGTGTAAGATAACACTTCCCATTTCCCCCTCCCCTCTCCCTTTCCCACGTCCCAGGCTGCCCTTGAATTCACCACCTATCTGTCTCAGCCTACTGAGTGCTAGAATTGCAGGTGAGTGCCATCCATTGGGTCTGGCTTCCCCCACTTCTTTGGTTGTTCTACCACTTGAGCCACAGTGCTACTTCCAGTTTTTGAGTGGTTAATTGGAGATAAGAGTCTCACAGGGGGGCTGGAAAGGTAGCCCAGTGATAGAGTGCTTGCCTTGCATGCATGAGGCCCTCAGCTCGATTCCTCAGCACCACATAAGCAGAAAAAGCCAGAAGTAGCGCTGTGGCTCAAGTAGTAGAGCGCTAGCCTTGAGCTGAAGAGCTGAGGGACAGCATCCAGACCCAGAGTTCAGGCCCCACAACCAGCAAAAAAAAAAAAAAAGCCTCACAGAGACATTTCTGCCCTGGCTGGCTTTGAACCATGACATTCAAATCTCAGCCTCCTGAGTAGCTAGGATTACAGTCATGAGCCACCAGTACCTGGCTCTACCACTTCTTTTCTTTTGTCGGTCGTGGGGCTTGAACTCTGGGCCTGGGCGCTGTCCCTCAGCTCTTCAGCACAAGGTGAGCACTCTACCACTTGAGCCACAGCGCCACTTCCTCTACCACTTGTTAAAAACACATTTTTTTTTTTTTCATTTGAGGCATAACATTTTTAGTGAAATGCACACATCTTGACTCTAAGGCTCTGTGAAGCTTTACATATGTAAACTGTTAAAATTTCAGTTCCTGTAATTTTTACTTAACAATCTGAACATTTCCCCTCGTCTTTCAGTATTCACATATGGAATGGTTTGGGCCACTTTTGACTTTGCAAGTGGAACAGATGTCAGTGTGCTAAATTTTTAGTTGTCATTGTGAGCCTGTCTCTCTGTTTCTTCTACCCTATCTTGCTCCCTCTTGTTTGGGCCAGGCCTTGTGACTGAACCTGAACAATGGGGCTTTTAGGGGCTGGTTTTAGTTGTCTGCACTGGCCTCCTTACGCTACAGTGGCCTTCCCTGAAGCTGCACACAAAAGCTGCCAGGTCCCTTTAGAGTCAATATGACTGAGGAGGCGAAGTAGAAAGCCATTTATCTGGGTTGGCCCTGCAGTCATCGGACGTGAACAAATGGGTACCTAGTGCAAGAGTCCTGGGCTGCTTTGGTGGGATGTCAGGGGCCCTTTGGGAAGTACTTTTGTCCAAGGAGCCAGCTCACCGGAGAAGTTGTAGCTGGGGGTTGTTCGTGTCTGCACAGTGTTGCGTGAAGATTCCCTCAGATGCCTTGTGGGGCAGGGCCAGTCTGCTGTCAGTCTCCACATACGTGGGCTCGGTTTGACTACACTTGGCAAGGAAGACTGTGGCAGATGTAGCTTCTCTTCCCCTTGTATCACAACAGCAGTCTATTTTGGTATCTCCGTCTGGATGTATCCCTCCCTCCCTTGTTCTAGGTCTTTGGAACTATTATGGGTCTCCCGTAACCCTCGATCTTCTGTGCACTGGATGGGCTGTGCACCTTTATCTCTTTTGTCTTGTTTTGTGAGCAATCTTCTGATTTCCATTCTGTAGTGAGATCCATTCTTCTGGGCAGATGGACCAGGAGGGGAGTTGCCCTGTGCAGAGTGGCAAGGACTGATGAGTTGTGAGTCCAGATAACTAGAGAATATAAGAGAGGCCAGGATTTGTGTTGACCAGGGCACTGCGAAGGGCAAACAAGTTGGTAGTTTAAGCTTTGCAGACTTATTTGTCTCTAGGATCCTCATGGACTTTTCTCTATTTCCCCTGGGGGTAGTGGACAGAACTGCTATTACATGTCTACAGACATGACATTACATTTTTAATATAAATTTTTATTATTATAAAGGTAATGTACAGAGGGGTTATAGTTACATAAGTCAGGTAATGAGTACATTTTTTTTGTTGTTGTTTTTTTGTTTTGTTTTGTTTTTTGGGTCCGGTTCTGGGGCCTGAACTCTGGGCCTGGGCACTGTCCCTCAGCTCTTCAGCTCAAGGCTAGCGCTCTACCACTTGAACAACAGCGCTACTTCTGGCTTTTTTTTTTCTGTTTATGTGGTACTGAGGAATCGAACCCAGGGCCTCATGCATGCAAGGCAAGCGCTCTATCACTGAGCCACCCAGCCCCAATGAGTACATTTTTTGGACAATGTTACCCCCTTCCCTCGCTTTCTTAATTTTCCTCTTCCATACCCACCTACACATTGTATGGTTGATTCTCCACATGCTGTCTAGTGAGCACCCCTGCTGCACTTGTTCACACTTTGTCCCTCCATGTTTATGCCCCACCCTCTTATCTTTCCAAAGACAAGACAAAAGGAAAACAAAAAAGACAACAAAGAAAAAACCTCATTTCCATTTCCTGGAGTTCATCTCAGTAAATATTTTATGATCAGAGGCACATAGGCATTATGCCTTTGTGCTCCTCCCCTAAGAGTATCCTCTTTTGGTCTCACCGTGTGTGAATGCCTGTATAATTTATCATGCATGAAATTACATTTTATGACTAGGAAGAGGATTCATCTTGAACACATGACTCTGCCCTTCTCTGAGGCAGAGCCAGCAGGAATTGAGGAGCTCTACCCAAAGCAGTCATCTGGCCCCTGGACTTTCTAGAAGGACCTAGAAAGTCTTGTCCAAGGACCATGATATAACAACCTGAATCTTTGCCAATTCCCTATTAATTTCTTTTCCTTTTCTCTCCAGCTCAGCTAAAGGGGAAACTTTAAGAGGGGACGGACTTACTTAACATGTTGGCATTCTGGAGGCAGCAAATCACAGTTTCTGGCATGACAGTGTTTAGCTGTTCTGCCCTTGGAGAGAGCAAAGGGTTGAATATGACAGCTGTTAAGTGGAGCAAAGTGGGCCGAGCTCTTGAGCAAGAGGAAGAGTAGAGATCACAAGACAATCTGACTGGATGAAGGTAAAGGCAGGGCTCCCCATACCTTCAATATAGGCATCGAAGGAGTCTGTTGGCAATAACTGCTGTGCTTGGCCCTTATCACCCTTAGGAATCTTGAGTCCAAAGTTGAAACCAGCAATCCTGGCATAGCCTGCCATGTGCCTGGCTGGGGCTAACACCTACTCTGTTACCTCTTCTAGAGACCTCTGAACAGCTGACCCCTGAAGAGGAAGCTGATGAGACAGAGGCCTGGGCCAAGCCCCTAAGTCAGCTGTGGCAGAACCGACCTCCAAACTTTGAAGCTGAGAAGGAATTCAACGAGTTCATGGCCCAGCAGGCTCCACACTGTGCCGTCTGCATGATCTTCCAAACTTACCATCAGGTTGGCTGTACCTTCTACTTGGTGTCCTCATGTAGAATCAGCAGTCAGAGGAAGCTAGATTTATTTGTTTGCTCATAGCTTGCCCCTGATTTCTCTTGAGGGAGTCTTCTTTTCCCTGGTATCTCTGTCCTCTCTGGACCTTGGCTATCCTTTGACAGGCCATCACCTTAGGTTTTTACTTGAACGAGTTTGGAGCCAGTGTAGCTCAGGCTCCCCTTGCACGGCATTGAGCTCATCAGACATTGCTGTTTGCAGAGCACTTTACTTTTCAGTTATCATCCTCGTCCAGCTGTCTGTCCACGATGTTGCTGGTTGTCTGCAGTCCTGGCCAGTCAGAGAATAAGACTGGAATTTCCTTACCACAGTAGTCTTGACCTTCAAGGGATCAGGTCCTCTTGTGTTGTCACCCTCTTTACTTTCTCCCATTGTTGTGAGGAACTAGAGCAGGGTAGAAGCGAGGGGTGTGATAGTAGAAGAGTAGCAAGCATGAATGCTGGGCTCAGCTCTGCCCTTTTCTATATATATGCCAGAACATTGACGGCTGCACCAGCACAGATCCCTTTGGGTCCAGCTCTCTAGGAGGCCAAGAAGGCATTCACAAAGCAGTAGGTGCCAGGTGATAAACGCAGGCTCAGCCAGGACCTGCACAAGGTGGCAGGCAGCTAAGCAGCCCTGTGGTAGCATGGAGGGGCTCCAGCAGAAAGATGGAACTGTAGACCAACTGTAGACAATTTTACTTTCCATGGACAGAAAACATAGCCAAAGGACTGTGTGTTCCATTGCTTCTAAGGGAAGCAACTGGCTTGGTTCTTTTGTTTTTTTGTTTTTTTTTGGGGGTCCGGTCATGGGCCTGAACTCTGGGCCTGGGCGCTGTCCCTCAGCTCTTCAGCTCCAGGCTAGCACTCTACCACTTGAGTCACAGCACCACTTCCAGCTTTTTTCTTTTTGCTTATGTGGTGCTGAGGAATCGAACCCAGGGCATCAGGCATGCAAGGCAAGTGCTCTACCACTGAGCCACCTTCCCAGCCCCATGGCCTGGTTCTTTTCATCAGCAGCTCTACTAAGTCAGCACCAGAGTTTCATCAATGGCATAGGCCCAGAGGTTGATGTGTTTCTGGGCTCTGTTCTTGGAATAAGGATAATGGTGCCATCCAGCGGCAGAGCCAGCAGATATTTGCGGGCAGTGTCGCTTTGCCAAAGGAAGTGTATGTGGACATAATGTTCTTCCATCAAGGGGCCCTGGGCCAGGAAGCACAGGTGGGGCTCTAGCCATGTGATAGAGCTACAGCTCAGGTGACCTGCTGACATGAACTGGCAGAAGCAATCAGTGCTGGTCCGTTAGGGGCATCTGCTCCCGGTGCTATCTCTGAATGGGGCCACTGTGTGATACAGCACCAGGGGGAACCCTCAGTAGCAGCCTTGCTGCTAACATCTCAGTGCATTTTATTGTCACTTGGTTTGAGAAGATTGAAATCCCAGTTGCCTCTTACCTCTCTCCCTCTTCTCAGTTGTCCCCTAGAGGCCTTTGTTTGATGCTGCAGTGAGAAATTGAATTTGAGTCATTAGAGGTAACTTCAATTAGTAGCTCTGGGATAATGGCTGGGCACCCGGGAGCTATAGTCGTAGTCACATGAGTGAGAGAGCCAGCTTTCTGCTGATGGAGCAGGTGGAGAGCTGAGAGCAGGGATGTGTGTTCACTGTGCTGTGTGTTCTTCTCTCCCCTCAGGTCGAGTTTGGAGGCCTGAGCCAGAACTGTGGAAACGCTTCCACATCCGCTGCCCAAACACAAAGGACCAAGCCATTGATTCCAGAAATGTGCTTCACCACAACCGGCTGCAGCACAGACATCAACCTTTCTACTCCTTACCTGGAGGAAGATGGCACCAGCATGCTTGTCTCCTGCAAGAAGTGCAGTGTCCGGGTCCACGCCAGTGAGTTTCTCTCACTCTTCTCTCCTGTACCTGGAGCATGAACCTGCTCATAGGAGGTGTTTACTATCTGCTGGCCTCCTTCCTCCCCCAATACAAAGGCTGCTTACGTGGTATTAGAGTGTTGTTGCTGACTGATAGCTTTCCTGTGATGCTAAACATCGCTACTTGAGCCAGTTAACTCTGCTGTCCTCTTAGTTGTTGCTACTAGGCATTTGTACCTGTGAATCCACAATTTTGGGCTTTGAGTCCTGCTGACAATGATCTAGGATTCTGGGGTTTCTATAAGATTTGATATTTTGGGGAGGTGGTTTATAGAAAATAATTGCAGCCGGGCGCCAGTAGCTCATATCTGTAATCCTAGCTACTCTGGAGGCTAAGATCTGAGGATCTCAGTTCAAAGCCAGCTCTGGCAGGAAAGTCCATGAGACTTTTATTTCCAATTAACCATCAGAAAATTGGAAGTGGAGTTGTGGCTCAAAGTGGTAGAGCTAGCCTCCAGCCAAAAGAGCTCAGGGAGAGCGCCCAGGCCCTGAGTCCAAGCCCCATCACCAACAGCAACAACAACAACAAAAATTACAAATCCATTTGGACTCTAGCCTTCAGGTTTAATTTGTTCTATTTGGTGTTCTTATCAGGTTGCTATGGGGTTCCCCCTACAAAGGCTTCTGAAGAGTGGATGTGTTCCCGGTGTTCAGCCAATGCCCTGGAAGAAGTGAGTACTTCCACACTCTTCCTATCTTACTTATGGGACAAGTTCAGGGCCAGCCTTTTTCTTTTTTTGGGTCCGGTCATGGGGCCTGAACTCTGGGCCTGGCGCTGTCCCTCAGCTCTTCAGCTCAAGGCTAGCGCTCTACCACTTGAGCCAGAGCACCACTTCTGGCTTCTTTCTTTTTGCTTATGTGGTGCTGAGGAATCGAAACCAGGGCCTCGAGCATGCAAGGCAAGCCCTCTACCACTGAGCCACCTTCCCAGCCCCAGGGCCAGCCTTTTTCATGCTGGACTTACTTCCTCAGCAGTTTGCTAGGATCTAGTACTCCATGATGTCAGAGTGCATTGTGGGAATAAGCCCTGTAACCTTAGATGTATGCTAACCACTTGCAGCAGGGCATGAAGTGATCTAGAAGCTGGGTTCTAATTTCCATTCACTGTCCTCTTCCTCCTATTCTTCCTCATTTCCTCTTCCTCTCCTCCATTCTTCCTCTTCTTGCTCCTCCTTGACAGAACCAAGTGGAGGTCCTCCTGTTAACAATCGCCAAACTCCCTTGTTCACTGTTCTCCTCACCCTTGCCCCTGGCATCACCGGTGCAGGGAGCAGTTAGCCCTGCAGCCTCCAGCTCATAGAGCCATTCCCAGGGCTTTACTCACAGTTGTTAGGAACAGTGTTAAGTCAAGTGATGCTTGATGCACTTTGTTCCTGAATGGCTTCTCTGTCTCTTGCCTCTTACACACTACTGCCTGGGTTGAGGTTAGGGTTGCCCACAGGAAGTCATGAGGAGAGCAGATGGGATATTAATGACATGGTGGTAACCCCTTTCCTCCACTCTCTTCTGGGCAGGACTGCTGTTTATGCTCATTACGAGGAGGGGCCCTGCAGAGAGCAAATGATGACAGGTAAGTTTTCTGAGCAGTCTGATATCCAGGCTCAGTTCTGAAGTAGCATGCAGCGGTTCCTGGGGTTGTGGGTGCTTCAGAGTGACTGAAGAGTTGAGCAACGCAAGATGTGGAGACTTTTTTTTTGGTGCTGGTCCTGGGGCTTGAATTCAGGGCCTGGGCACTGTCCCTGAGCTTCTTTGGCTCAAGGCTAGCACTCTACCACATGAGCCATAGTGCCACTTCCAGCCTTTTCTGAATAGTTTATTGGAAATAAGCATTTCCTGGACTTTCCTGCCTGACCTGGCTTCAAATTATGATCAGATCTCAGCCTCCTGAGTAACTAGGATTGGAAACATGAGCCACTAGCACCCTGTTGGAGACTCATTTTTAGCAGTGGGTTGCCTAGGGAGACAAATCCTAGGCTCATTTGAGACAGACATGTGAGTAACATTCTCCTTTTGAGGGGCTCAGAATGGACTCAGGAGAGAATGAAAACCCTATAAAGTGGTGCCATATAGTAGTGAGGACATTGACCCTGTCAGGGCTGGGAACAATGTGCACAAGGGGCCACTGCTAAGGGCTAGGAAGTAACCCTGCCCTGGTCCAGTCCTGCTATTTGGAGAGGGTACAGGTCCTCAAAGGGAGCACTGGGATATTGAAGAGAGCTCAGTCAAGCCACCCACTCTTCCCCAAGTGCGTCAGGCAGCTCCTTTTCTTAGAAGCACATTCTACCATCTTAGTTTTTCTCATCTTTGTGTATGTCGGTTTCCCAAAATGTCCAGAACTTGGCTTAATCTTCTCTTAGTGTCCACTGGGGAGAGAACGAAGAACTTGGTTGAGACTTTAAAGATAAAGGGAACAAGCCAGGTGCCAGCGGCTCATGCCTGTAATCCTAGCTACTCAGGAGGCTAAGATCTCAGAATCACGATACAAAACCAGCCTGGGCAGGAAACTCCATGAGACTCTTATCTCCAATTAACCACCAGAAAACCGGAAGTGGTACTGTGGCTCCAGTGGTAGAGTGCTAACCTTGAGCTGAAGAGCTGAAGGACAGCGCCCAGGCCCAGAGTTCAAGCCCCACAACCAACCAAAAAAAGAAAAAGATAAAGGGAGGTCATTCCAGCCCAGAGAAGAGGTTGTGGGAGAGCCTAGCAAATGATTATTGGCAGATTGAGGAGTGGTGTGTGTGTGTGTGTAGTAAGTTAGGCTGTTTTAGGAAGTACTCAGGTCCTCAGTGGCTTCATTGAGTAAGGAAGGAATCACCATCTGAAGGCCTACATTAGAAATGACAGCCACAGGACCATGAACCCTGGGGTCACCCGGGCCTTTCCCTTTTGGCAGGTGGGTCCACGTTTCATGTGCCGTGGCAATTCTGGAAGCAAGGTTTGTCAACATTGCTGAAAGAAGTCCTGTGGATGTGAGCAAAATCCCCCTACCTCGCTTCAAGCTGGTAAGGAAGAAATGGGCGTGTAGACAGTACATCATTACATTACTGGCGAGTCTGGGCAGAGGACAGCAGTGTATTTCTGCCTGGCCCAGTGTGGCTACCCTTATGTCTTGCTTCTGTCAATGATACCTACTCACGGTAAAAGTACCGGTGGTTAGAGGAGAGATTGGAATATGTTACGGGCACACCCCGTGTTTTGAGTGGAGGGTGGCTCTGGATTGCTTATATCTGTGCTTTGGGATGGGGAGCAAAGCAAGAGGCTCATCTGTCAGTTCCTGGAATCATTGGCTCTCTTCCCCCATATACAGAAATGTGTCTTCTGTAAGAAGCGAAGGAAAAGAAATGCTGGCTGCTGTGTACAATGCTCTCACGGCCGCTGTCCAACCGCTTTCCACGTGAGCTGTGCTCAGGCGGCTGGAGTGATGATGCAGCCTGACGACTGGCCTTTTGTGGTCTTCATTACCTGCTTTCGGCACAAGATTCCCAATTTGGAGGTGAGGGGCGGGGGCACTTCAGTCCTATGCAAAGGCTTCAAGATTATTTTCTCTATGCCTTGCATTTATTGTGTCAGCATCCATTACCTCAATTTGATGCTTGATGGAGGATGCCTGCCAGTGAATAAGCATTGGAGAAATAGCCCCTCTCCATGTCTGTTCCCTACCCAGAGTTGGTAATTCAGGGCCACCAAACTGCTTTGATCCATTGCTTTGGAGAAACCCCTTGAGGGTCCCAAGGTCATTAATCTAGGCGTCCTTTTTCTTCTGTAAATGTTGAGAACTGATAACCCTAGCTAGTTGGTATTAACTGCCGTACAACAAGGAGTTTTGCACTTCTTTAGGCGGTGAAGTACATAGGACATATGGAACATTAACTAGAGGAGCAAGCAATGAGATGGACCTTCAGCAATCAGGAAGAATCAGGACTGGGAGAGTTCAGGGGTTTAAAAACAGGAGCAAGTCTTGGAAGAATAGTCATGCGAGGCCTGAGACTGTAGCTCTACAGTAGAGCAATTGCCTAGCTTGTACAAGGCCCTGGGTTAAATCCTCTGCACAAAGAGAAACGGACAGAGGCAGAGAGGGGAGGAATGAATGAGGAAAAGAAAAAGGGAAGAAGAGAAGAGAGAGACAAGAGATCTTCAAGATCAATGGTGGGTTGTATGGCGATGTCACTTGAAAAATGAGTAGTGCCCCTGGACTGCCATACATGTCTCACAGCTCTTCCATTGAATGAGGAGAACTTTTTAAATAATGTTTTGATTTGGAGCTTTTTCTTGGCAGTCCTGGGGTTTAAACTCAGGACCATGAATTTGCTGATGCATTCTTTTGTTTTTTTTGGTCCGGTCATGGGGCCTGAACTCTGGGCCTGGGCGCTGTCCCTAAACTCTTCAGCTCAAGGCTAGCATTCTACTACTTGAGCCACAGCGCCACTTCCCACTTTTTCTGCTTATGTGGTGCTGAGGAATCGAACCCAGGGCCTCATGCATGCAAGGCAAGCACTTTACCACTGAGCCACCATCCCAACTCCTGCCGAGGCATTCTTCAAAGATTTATTAAGCATGTACTAAACACCAGGTACAACTTGAGCTAGAAATCCTATTTTTTTGACAGTTACTCAGGTGGTTGGTTGAGAAGAGGATTCAATAATCAAAATGTGAGGCAGAAAACCCAGTTAGCTTGGGTGAAAGTGAAGTCAGAAATGGAAACATGCAAACAGAATCTGAGGTCCTGTCCAACCCTGAGAGCCCATAACCCTGGGATCCCACACCAGGTAGAGTTGACAGGGCTTGTTTTACCCTGGAAATAGAGAAGAGGGATTGTAAATAGAAGGTGACTCCCTTGAGAGATGGGAAACAGCAGGTAGCTGGAGATAGCTATGAGGGTGAGGATCTGGTTATTTTTTATTTGTATTTTTTTTGGTCCGGTCATGGGGCCTGAACTCTGGGCCTGGGCACTTTCCCTCAGCTCTTCAGCTTAAAGCTAGCACTCTACCACTTGAGCCACAGCACCACTTCCGGCTTTTTCTGCTTATGTGGTGCTGAGGAATCGAACCCACGGCCTCAAGCATGCAAGGCAAGCACTCTACCACTGAGCCACCTTCCCAGCCCTATTACCAGCTTTAGTAGGATAGTTAAATCAATTTCCCACTGGAAATTGGGTTCTGGAGAGTCACCCACTTTCCTCTAAGCCCCAGGATGAAAAAAGTGAAAGCAACCAGTGGGAGGATAATAACACTCACGGGCTAGTCTAAAGAAGGCGGATCTAGTGTGGCCTCATTGAGTTATCCCAAAGGACAAAGCCTGGGACAGTGAGCTCAGAACCCAGTTCCCTGTTGGGAATGACAGCTATCAGCAAGTTACGGTCTGATGGAGGAGAGGATCCTGTGGTCTTTCAGCAGTGTGATCACTGTGGTGATCAGATGAACACAGGAGACAGCCAGTCCACAGAAGGAGCTAGTCTGTCTGATTTGGGCTAGTTGGTTCACTGGATCCTCGTTTTCATTAAGTATTTTGCTGAGTAAGAGAAGTGGTCAGTGGTATGGGTGGATCTTAGGTAAATGGTAAAATGAGGCTGGGGAGGAGTAAAAGCCTGAGAAACATCAAGTCTAGCAGGGAAGGCTCAGGTTGGTCTTGGAACAGAGCATGGATTTGAGCTGATTAGCAGTACTCCATGTGTTGTGAGGAAACTGAGGTAGTGTTGAGGGTTTTGTTTGCTTGTTTGTGCCAGTACTGGAGCTTGAACTCATAGCCTCATTCCCTTCCTTGGCATTTTTACTCACAGCTGATGCGTTCCCAATTGAGCCATACCTTCAGTTTCACATTTGTGCTGATTAATTGGAGATTTGCCCAGGGTTGGCTTTGAACCATGATTTTCAGACCTCAGCTTCCTAGGTAGTTAGGACTACTGATACCAGCTTTGAGTAATTCTTTTATGAATTCATTCTTCAGCCAAGTGCGAGCCCAAGGCCCCTAAGTTCAAGCCTTAGTATAGGCACAAAACAAACAAAAACAAAAGAAATTCATTCTGAAGGTATTTATTAAGCATGTGGTGCAGTTGAAAGATACATCGGAAACTAGTTAACGCACAGTATGTCAGATGGTGAAAAGTACAGTGGGTAAAAATAAAGCAGGCTAAAGGGAATGGGAGGAATAAAGAATGGCACCAGTGAGTAGGCACTGGGATATAAGACAGCCAGTGGGCTGATAAATGGGGAAAGGCCCATCAGGTATAGAGAACAGCAGTGCAAAGGCCCTGGGGTAAGAACATGGGTGGTACATATGTCCAGAGAACAGCAAGAGCACTGGTTTATCTGGAATAGAGTGTTGAGGAAGATTTGAGGGCATGGTTAGACATGAGCCTAATACTTGCTTGGTGATCGCATTTGTATCAAGGATGAATTCAGAATGAGAAGGGTGCAGCTGAGGGCACTTGAGATGGCAGGTCCTGATATGAGGATAGTTAATTGTTCCAAGTTGCTGACATCTGGGAAACATGTCAGTGCCTGAGGGTAGAGCTAGTTTGTAGGTCAGGGTTGGGCATTGACTGGTCGTGGGTTGACTCTACTCAGAGACTCTGTACACCCAAGATCTGTGTATGGGGAGGCACTGTCAGGCTGGTTGCAGAGAAATCACCAAGGTATGTTTAGTACTGGATAAGGACCAGCTATGGGCTAGGAGATAAGGAGGAGCCAAATTTAAGGAGAATAATGCCCTAGCTGGGTATCTAAAAAGGCCTGTATTTGTTTGTTTGTTTGGTCCTGGTGCTTGAACTCTGGCCTAGGCACTGTCCCTGAGCTCTTTTGCTTAAGGCTAGTGTTCTACCACTTTGAACCACAACTCCACTTTTAGTGTTTTGAGTAGTTTATTGGGGTTATTGGACTATCCCGACTGTGCTGGCATTGAAGTGCAGTCCTCAGATCTCAGCCTCCCGAGTAGCTATTTTATATAGGTGTGAGCCACCAATGCCCAGCTGAAAGGACTGTTTTAGTTCCACTCTCTTGTCGCTTATATTTTTCCATTCCTGCATTTAACCTTTCTCATGGGAGTGAGATTGAGTTAATTTTGGTGGGCAGGCCTGTCCACTCCATGAATATTAACCCAAACCTCTGTTTTTCCAGCGTGCCAAGGGGGCCTTGCAGAGCATCACTGCAGGCCAGAAGGTCATCAGCAAGCATAAGAACGGGCGCTTCTACCAGTGTGAAGTGGTCACACTCACCACCGAGACCTTCTATGAAGTCAACTTTGATGATGGCTCCTTCAGCGACAATCTTTATCCTGAGGACATAGTGGTAATGTCTACAAGCAGTTTCTTGGGCAGTTTGAGACTGGGGTATTTCCATGCTTGGTTGGCAGACTGGATATGGGTCTGCCTTGCCTTCTCTAGCCAGGGCTTGTGGTTTATTTTAATCATCAGTCAGTCTCCAAACAAAATGACTTATTTTGATCTTTCTTGCAAGGAATATTATGTGCTACTAGGGTACTCTGCTTTCTCTAGGAGCTTCTGGGAATTAACGTTTCCTGCAGTTTTTGAAACATGCAATATATTTTGATCTATACCATCCCTGAAAGTATCTAGTACAGAAGAAAATGTCCAAATCTTGAAATCAAAGCAGTATGTCAATGCCAGCTTCATTGTTTCAAAGTTGTGCAACTGGGAGAATTCACCCACTCCTCTAAGATGGGTGCCATCTTAGGAGATGTGTGCAGTCTACCTTGGCTCTTCACAGTTGAGGATACAATTTTCCTGTAGACACCATGGCCTGCTAATGTTATCAATACCCTGAGTCAGAGGCCCTACCTGGCTCTGATCTTGAGTTTCCTGGCTCAGTGTTAGACTTAGTTTGAGTTTCCCCTGCCCCTATCCTGCCTTTTTATGGACTAGATACTAACTAGACTAGCACCAAGGTAGAGGAATAAAGGTTTTTTTTCCTTTAACAAATTGGGTATTTCCACTGTTTATACACTTCATTAACAATTGTTCACAGCATGAGTACAAAGGTCATTGTAAAGGTGATAGTACTCACAGCGATAGTATAGTGATGATTTATTATGCCCTGATATATGCCAGCCACTGTGCTTAGTGCTCTCATACCTATATGAGAGACTCGGAGAAATAGATGGTGGCCTTTCTAATCAGGACTCTTTCTAAATTACTAAGGAACTCAAAGAGCTTATAGATATGTTTTTTGTTTTTGTTTTTTGGTGCTGAGGACCAAACACAGGGCCTTACATTTGCCAGGCAAGTACTTTTTTACTGTTCTAAGTCCTCAATACCAAGCTTGTTTTTTTTTGTGTGTGTGTGTGTGTGATGTGTTTTGCCTATCAATATTTAGCATATAAAGCTAAGATTAATTTTTTTGCTTTTTTTCTTTTCTTAGCCTTTTTTTTTTCTCTTGAGAGAAAATCTACTTATCCCAGGCTGGCTTTGAACTCAACAATCCTCCTGTCTTAGCCTTTCAAGTGCTGGGATTACATTTAAATACTACTGCTCACCCAGGCGCCGGTGGCTCACGTCTCTATTCCTAGCTACTCAGGAGGCTGAGATCTGAGGATCACAGTTCAAAGCCAGCCTGGGCAAGAAAGTCCATGAGACTCTTATCTCCAATAAACCACTAGAAAACTGGAAGTGGCGCTGTAGCTCAAGCAGTATAGCACTTACCTTGAGCTGAAGGGCTGAGTGACAGCGCCCAAGCCCAGAGTTCAAGCCTCACAACCGACCCCAAAAAAAAAAAAGTACTACTCTCAGCCCTTAATATCTGTTTTTTTTGGGGGGGTCCGGTCATGGGGCCTGAACTCTGGGCCTGGGTGCTGTCCCTCAGCTCTTCAGCTCAAGGCTAGCGCTCTACCACTTGAGCCACAGCGCCATTTCCGGCTTTTTTCTTTTTGCTTATGTGGTGCTGAGAATCGAACCCAGGGCCTCAGGCATGCAAGGCAAGCGCTCTACCACTGAGCCACCTTCCCAGCCCCATGCAATCTTTTCATTAAGGTACAATGAGAAGGTTTCACTTCTCACAGATGTATCATTAGAAAGAAGAAGAGTTTTTGTTGTTGTTGTTTTTGCTGGTTCTGGGCCTTGAACTCAAGGCCTGGGTGCTGTTCCTAAATTCCTTTTCCTCAAGCTAGCACTTTACTACTTGAGCTACAGCACCACTTTTGGCTTTTTTTTGTGATTAATTGGAGATAAGAATCTCATGGATTTTCTTGCCCAGTCTGGCTTTGAACCAGGATCCTCAGAGTGCAGCCTCCTGAGTAGATAGGATTACAGGCATGAGTCACCAGCAACCAGTTGGGAAGAACTTTTTATTTTACTTATACATTTTAATTTATTTTATTTATGTGTTAACTGAGAAATCAAAGCCTGGGCTCATGAATGCTAGACAAGCACTCTATCACTAAGCCACATCCCTAGCCCTGGGAAGAACTTTTTAAAAGCCCTTTAGGTATTTGTAATGATTGTTTTTTTAATAACCCACCAAAACTCAACAAGAACAGGTGCTTTTTTGGTTGGTTGGTTGGTTGGTGTGTGTGTGTGTGTGTGTGTGTGTGTGTGCGTGTGCGTGTGCGTGTGCGTGCGTGCGTGCGTGCGTGTGTGTGTGTGTATGCATGCATGCATGCGCTGGTTCTGGGATTTGAACTCAGCCTTCTCATTTGGCTTTTTGACTTATAGCTCTTCCACTTGAGCCATGCCTCCAGGCCTGGCTTTTTCACTAGTTAATTGGAGATTAGTGCCTCCTGGACTTTTCTGCTCAGACTAACTTTGAACCTTGATCCTCAGATTTCAGCCTCCTGAGTAGCTAGGATTAAAGGTATGAACTACTAGCACTTGGCTCTAAGTGGCTTTTCCCATTCCTGATTTTAAAACACTGTATTTTGGTCATTTAGAAAACACCAGTACACTGGGCTATATTCATCTTCTAAATGTTACATTTTATTATAAATACCAAAAATAAATCACATATTGTCACTAATTCGAAAACTTTAAATTCTAAATTTTGGAAAGCTTCATAGTATTTATATTGATGATGATACTTTTCTGAAATTCTAATTTATGCTTGCAAGTTTAAATTTTATTATTGGCAATAGATGACTGTCTGTTGGTTTCCATGAAGTAACAGAAGTGACAGGATCATTTCATTCATTCTTAGGAAAATGTCTGCCAAACTCGCAAGTTTCAATAACCATAGTCTGTCAGTCTTTTTTTTTTTCTTCAAATGAACTGTTACTTTGTGAAAAAGGAGTAGCTAGTGCAGTTCACATAATTACAACTTTTTTCTTTTATAGTATTGGGGATTGAATCCAGGGTCTCAAGCATGCTAGGCAACTGTTCTACAACTGAGCTATACCCCTAACCCTAACACAGATGGTTTTCCTCTTGCATACTGTCATGCGTAATCCAAAGTGTCTCACAAGTAATTAATCATTTAATACAATCATTTAAGCTTCATAATGTAACAACATCATTATTGTCCTTAAAAGTCACTGTGACAACAGGCTTTTTTTTTAAAACTGAAGTTTAACTCAGCCTCTATACTTGCTAATAAGTAAGTGCTCTGCCACTTGAGTTATTTCCCCCTCTCCCACCTTCAACCCCAACCTTTGTGTTTATTTTTGTTAATTTATTTTTTTGTTGGTCATGGGACTTGAACTCTGGGCCTGGGATTAGAAACATAAGCTATCACATCTGATGAAACCAGACTGCTCCTTCCTTTAAATTCTGAGTACATGATGGTAAAGGATATAATGAGAATTGTGTTTATTCCCAACCCTGTACTGTTGGTGCACACCATCAGTAGTTGTAGATTTTATACCACCACAGCAAATGTCACCACAGTGAAAAAAGGCTAGGGTTTTGATACTATAAAAATAATTGTATGGGGGCTGGGAAGGTGGCTCAGTGGTGGAGTGCTTGCCTTGCATGCATGAGGCCCTGGGTTCGATTCCTCAGCACCACATAAGCAGAAAAAGCCAGAAGTGGTGCTATGGCTCAAATGGTAGAGTGGTAGCCTTGAGCTGAAGAGCTAAGGGACAGCGCCCATGCCCAGAGTTCAGACCCCATGACTGACCCCCCCCCCCAAAAAAAAATGTATGACTTCAAATGTCCCTTGATAATGTCTTAGAAGATTCTCAAGTTGCAGACTACCTTTTGAGAACTGCTCAGGGAAATGAAACTGAGTTGTGGTTTGTCATATGTTTAACTAATTAAAACTTTTACCTCAGATTCTTTTGGGTAGGGGTATACAGCAGGTTCATAGCATATATATATTACCTACTCAACAAATAAATCAGTATAGTTTAGAACCATTTCTACTTAGTAAATGAATTGGCAAACAGGTCAGAACCTTTCTGTTGTTGTTGTTTTGTTTTGTTTTTTGCTGGTCCTGGGGCTTGTACTCTGGGCCTGGGTTCTGTCTGTGAGCCTCTCTGTACTCAAGGCTAGCACCCTACAACTTGAACCACAATGCCATGTCTGGCCTTTTCTGTTTCATGTGGTTCTGAGGAATTGAACCCAGAGCTTCAATGCATGCTAAGAAAGTACTCTACCACTAAGCCACATTCCCAGCCTGGTCAGTACATTTTGTAACTATTTGTCATGTAGTATGATGCTCACCAGAACACCTTGTGAACAACACATGCCAATAGACTCACTTCCCTGTCCCCCAAATGTGTCCTTTTTTGGGGGGGTAGGGTGGGGTGTGCTTGTCCTGAGATTTGAACTTAGAGCCTGGGCACTGTCCCTGAGCTGTTTTGCTCAAGGCTAGTGCTCTACCATTTGAACCACAACTCCACATTCAGCTTTTTGATGGTTAATTGGAGATAACTGTTTCATGCACTTTTTTGTCCAGGCTGGCTTCAAACCATGGACCTCAGATCTCAGTTTCCTGAGTAGCTAGGATTATAGGCATGAGCCACTGGTGCTCAGATAAATGTGCACTGTCCATAGTGGACCTCCTAGGTTTACCCATTTGAGCTTTTTTTTTTGCCAGTCCTGGGCTTGAACTCTAGGTCTGGGCGCTGTCCCTCAGCTCTTCAGCTCAAGGCTAGCACTCTACCACTTGAGCCACAGAGCCACTTCTGGCTTTTTCTGCTTATGTGGTGCTGAGGAATCGAACCCAGGGCCTCATGCATGCAAGGCAAGCACTCTACCACTGAACCACCTTCCCAGCCCCCCCACCCCCATCTGAGCTTTGATTCAACCACCATGCATGCACATTGACCCCAACCACTGTACAAATTTCTGGGCCTGGGATATGTCAAGATTCATTTTAGCTTACCTTTGTAGTAAAAGTTATATATAATGCCAAGTCCCCTGATAGATGAGCCTTTCTTTTCTTACCTTGCCTGAATTTTAAGAACGTATTTCTTAAAATAGAATTGAGTACAATTCAAGCATTTCTTCTGGCACAGCCCTGGAGAACCCTAAGAGAAGGTCAGGTGAGAGGATGTGAGGAAGACTGCACCTGCTCCTATACTCCTAATTCTATTATAGCTGATCTTTTTTTCTCTGCTAGAAGCAGTAGTAGTAAGGAGATGATTGGGGCAAACTCAGCCTTAGCAATCAGGTGTTTATTGTGTCTTTCAGCTTTACCTGGATTGATTTAGCAGGGATTTATCTTGGCTTCTTGAATTTATATCAGTTGCCATTGTGCTCTTCTTAGACCTTCCTTTCACTTTCTTCTTTCCTTAGAGCCAGGACTGTCTCCAGTTGGGTCCTCCTGCTGAAGGGGAAGTGGTCCAAGTGAGATGGACAGATGGCCAAGTCTATGGAGCCAAGTTTGTGGCATCCCATCCTATCCAGATGTATCAGGTAAACAAAGGTTTTATCTAGGGAGTTGGAGATGGGATAGGCATTTGATCAATTCAACACTTCTTCTTGTGTAAGAAGTGTGTCTTTGGTCTTGAGACAATTAGCTTCATTTCAGTCTGCCAGTGTGGTCTCAGGCCTGGCAATCTGAGTCCAGGTTAGTAATGCCTTCTTTTGGCTATGGAAAATTGCCACTGCATGGCAGACCAGGAGTAGTCAGGGATATCCTAGGCAAAAGGCAAAAAGGCCTTTGTTTCCTTGGCAGGTGGAATTTGAGGATGGCTCACAGCTTGTGGTAAAGAGAGATGATGTATACACACTGGATGAAGAACTCCCCAAGAGAGTGAAGTCCAGACTGGTGAGTATGTGTTTTCTGTGTATTCCTGGCTATCCCTTCCTGGGAGGGGAAGGGATACAGGGTCATGTTCCTTTGGCTTTTTTTAATTAGTGTATTTGGCCACAAAGTGATAATTTGGTTTGTTTATTCTTTAGTCAGTAGCCTCAGACATGCGCTTCAATGAGATTTTCACAGAGAAAGAGGTTAAACAAGAAAAGAAACGGCAGCGTGTCATCAACTCAAGATACCGGGAAGATTATATTGAGCCTGCACTGTACCGGGCTATCATGGAGTAGACACTTCCAGGGTCTAAGAGGTTCCCAGCACTCTGGGGTTCCACAACACAGCAGACACACGGAACTCAGAAGTCTCTAAAAATGAAATTGTAAAAAGAAAAGAATGAGACACTCAAACCCCATCATCTTCTCACCCCATCCTCATCGCATTCTGCCATAGGGAAATAACAAGCCGTTTTTGGACAGTTGGCTGCAGCCACTGATCTCCTGGCAGAGGGGCTGACACTGGAACGCTGTGACTACATCAGCCCCCAGTCGAAAAAGGGGATCAAATGTGCCGGCTGGGCTGGCTGCCCTAGTCTAGGACTTTGCTTCCTACCATCACTTGCACCGACAAAGCAGCGGTGCTGGTGTTTGATCCAACTCTCCTTTTGTATTTATGTGTGTGTGTGTGTATGTGTGTGTGTGTGTGAGAGAGAGAGAGAGAGAGTACGTGTGTGTGTGTGTGTGTGTGTGCATGTGTATATATGTTTGTCTGGACCAGTTTCTGCCAGCCCCTGGCCTTTACTTCTTTGCCTATGCAGGGCAAACAAAATGTGAAATTCTGCCCTCAGCTGAGCTGAGTGAGGGCCCCTGGGGTTTGGCTGGAGGAGGGTGCACCATCTGTCCAGGCTTGGAACTGTCTCAAGAGAGTGTTGGCAAAGCTGCAGTATTGAGATGCTAAGGAGCTGTTGCCACCTCGTATTATGGTTTGTGCCACAAACTTGAGGCACAGAGCCCCTGTGGGCACAGTATTAGAGGGTGTGAGTGGGGAACACCCTGAAGAGGGGGTATTTTAATGATGAAAGCAGGCAGAGCCTGGTGGTTGATTCTGTCAACATAAAATTGCAATCAAGCAGGGGTTGGGAGGGTTTGGACAGGGGCAGGTGTGTAGATATGCTCTTGGTCAGGGTGGGAGGGAGTTGGCTGGGGGTGGGGAGGGTGGGACTAGAGGGCAGCACTGAAGGGGTTAAACGGGTTTTTGCTCCTCCTGAATTTGTTTGCCTGGGCCTAGGAATGGAGGGCTTCACACTTATATCCTATGTATACAAGAATGAAGTTTATAATACTTCCCCTTTTTTGTTACGTATGAACGCTATAAACCAAATTATTTTGAAAACTGGTGCATCACCTTGTCCTTAGCAATAAAATGTGTTGAGCAGAAGACTGACTGTGTCTGCCCCAAGGAGCCCAGGTGGCTCAGGGTCAGGCTGGATAGTAGTGAGTACTTGTGGGTTCTAATCTGTGGTAACTGTCAAAGGATGGGTCTCTTGTGGGGCACTATATTAGGTCAAGTGTGGTAGATCATGGGGAACAGGGGGCCTTCTGACTATGAGCAAGCACTTTGTGCTTCCCCTTCTTTGGAGATGGCCAAGCGGAAGGAACAGAAAAAGGAACAGACTTCCAAGTCTTCTAACCATTGATCTACTTGCACCCTATTTGAGTTTACTGAGCTGGTCTAAGTCCATACCAGCATCTATTCCCCACACATTCTAAAAGCAGTTTGAAAGGAGGTAATACAATGTAGATTCCTGAAAGAGCCTGGGTCCCAAAACATCTCCTAGTAGGGTTTTGAAATTGCTTGTAGAGTATCTTACCTGGAGGAAGACTCAGTTCTTATTTGGTATACCCTGAGGTCAAAGAGAAAGTCTACAGAGATTGACCTGTTGCCCTCCATTCTGGGATTCCCAGGGGATGTGGCAGGGAAGGCTGGGTAGATCAAGGCCTTCTGAAATGCTGAGTAGGTCCTAAGAGCAAACATCTTTGCAAGAGAGCAGAGTTAACCAACCTTTGTCCACAGGGTCCTACCCCTCAGTGGCTCTATCCTTGCTGAAGCATGTACAGAGTTTGTTTGTTTGTTTTGGTTGGTTTTGGGGCTTGAACTCTGGGCTTGGGCGCTGTCCCTGTGCTCTTCAGCTCAAGGTGAGCGAGCACTCTACTGCTTGAGCCACAAACAGTGCCACTTCTAGTTTTCTAATAGTTTATTGGATATAAGAGTCTTATGGACTTTCTTGCCTGGGCTGGCTTTGAACCATGATCCTCAGATCTCAGCCTCCTAAATAGCTAGGATTACAGGTGTGAGCCACCAGCACCTTGCCACACTTTTTAATTTTGGACAATGTCTTGCTATCTCAAGCTGGCCTCCAGCTCTCAATCCTGTCTCAGCCTCCTTAGTGTGCCTTCCTGCTTGACTTTCCACTTTATTTTGGTCAGTGTAAAAACCCTAAGAAAACATGTTCAAAGTGGTTATGAGACTATCCCAAATCAGTTTGTTTTGCTGCTAGGGATCTCTCCTGGGCTTTGAATCTTCTAAATAAGTGCTCTACCTTGATGCTATATTCCCACAAGCCTGGTCCATCCTCCCCATCCCCTCCCATTTTAGTTAGGTGGGGTCCTCAGGAATCACCTCATCTGAAGGCAGAGAATCCTTGCCCTCTACCTGCCAGCAACACCTCTTCCCCCCCACCCACTTTTTTTTTGCCCAGGGAAAATCGTCTTATTAAGTTGCTCTGGCATCCATAGGTGACAGTTTACAGTGCCCACCCATTTTCTGGAGAATTAAGCTTTAAGTTGTGCCCTAAATGGATACGCCAAGGGCTCCATGGAGGGAATGGGGGAAAGCAAGGCAGGGGAGTCAGGAGGAGGCTCCTAGAGCTGCCTGTAGGGCTGCTTCCATGCTTTTTGTGTATCTTTTTTTTTGTTATAAAGGTGATGTACAGAGAGGTTACAGTTATGGAAGTCGGGTAGAGTACATCTCTTTTTGGACAATATCTCCCCGATACTTGTGCTGTCCTAGTTTTCTCTCCCATCTCCACCCACAAGTTCTATAGTTCATTTTCCACATAGGGTGTAGCGAGTATACTGCCAGTGCTGCATTTGTTTACCCTTTCTCCCTCCGTTTCTGTGCCCCCCCCCTTAACCTCCCAAAGACAGATAAACCGACAAGACCAAAAAAACCAAACCAAAACCACCCAAAAACTGGAACGAAGGGGAAAACCTCTTGTTCCCATTTCCTGGGTTCATTTCGACAAATATTACTTTAATGACCAGAGGCACGCATGCACGGCGCCTTTGTGCTCTTAAGAATGTCCTCCTTTGGTGTCACTGTCCCCGTGCGTGCTGACCTCACGACTGGGCTGAGCCAAGGAGGGCCAAAGCCTTGTTCTGCAAGGAGCTATGTGGCCGTCCTGAAGGAGAGCTGAAACGTCCTCGGGCAGGGGACGATCGTGCCCACCCGCCGCCCCTCGCCGTTTCGAGGAAACGGGCTTTCACGCCCACGGATCATGGAGCGGGCCGGGGAGGTTTCCTCCGGGCGGCCAGCGGTGCATGGGAACGGACGTGGCGAGGGCGCCCTAGCTGCGCTGGCAGGCCAGGCCAGTTCCACAGGCCGGGGGCCACACGCCGCGCAACTTCGGCAGCTGGTCCGGGCAACGGGCCGGCGGGCGGGCGGGCGGAGCACACCGGCGCCCTCGTGCCTATTGGGCCCTTCCGACTTGTGTCCGCCCCCTCCTTGCGGCGCAGCTCACTATTGGTCAATTCTGCGCCCCGCCCGGATCCAGAGCGCCCATTGGCTGCGGGTGCCCGACCCCCAGTGAGGGTGCTGAGGCGGATTGGTGGTCTTACAGTCTTGGGTCGCGGCTGCGAGCCCCGCCCTCCGCTGCGTCCCCACTATGGCGGCGTCCATGCAGCCCACCGCGTCGTGGGCGCCCGCCGGGGTCCCCCGCGGCTGTCGCCGTCGCCTTCGCCGTCGCCTCCGTCTTCCCGCCCCGCGTGGGGCTGGGCGCCGTCTGCCCCTGCTTCCCTCTCCGCTGCGGTAAGGGCCTGTGGTGTGCGTTGCGGGTCGCGGTAGCGGCCGCAGCTAACGGTCTCGGCTCGTCCCTCTCCCTGGCTGCGGTCCCGGGCGGGACGCCGAGTCCGCGAGCTCCTGCTGGGGAAGGAGGTGTGGGGCACAGCCCGGTGGTCCCTCAGGCTGGAAGCCTGGCCCCTGAGCCACCCCCTGCGTGGGGGCTGCGGGCTCGAAGGCAAGGCCGCTCCGAGGCGGGCCGCGCGGTCCGAGCTCCCTAGCCTGCGGGACCCCAGCGCGCTGCGACCCTTGGCGAGGTGGAAGGACGCGACCCTTCAGAAAAAGGAAGGGAAAGTCCAGGGAGAGCCTGGAAGGGACCAGCCTCGCTTGGGTAGCTGTTGTCATTGCTTATGGTCCTCGCTGACAGACCTGGGTCAATTTGATTGGCAAAGTACTTACTCTTGCTTCCTTTCCGCCTGGCACTTTCTCCTATTGTCTTCTCGTTGATTGTGTTTGCAAGAGAAAATATATTAGAGAGGAGAACAGGTTTGGTTAGGGAGAGTTTCTCTATGTTGATTTCCCTTTTACAACTTTGCCTTTTTTTTTATTAACCTCAATAAACCTCTTTTTTGTTTGTTTCTCTCACATTGGAAGAGGAAACTGAGTATTGTAATTAACCGGAAGAACAGAGAAGGCAGCTGCCATCCAGAAAGTAAAGAGTATTTAACCCACCATTCTGTAATATACTTTGAATTATCTTTACTACAGCTAGTTGGATATGAAGGTTATTGAAAGCTAATAGACGTCATGACATTTTAGGTTGTTTGCTGTACCTTTAAGTCAACAGGATTGAAAGGAAAGGAGAAAGAAATTATCACCAGATGGTAGTTTCAAATAATCTCTAAGGATATTTTGCAATTTTAACTTACTTTTCTCCAGTTCACAAATATAACATGTATAGTAAGTTACTAATGGTGAAACAAGAACACCCATGTTCTTAGACAATAATTGGTTTGCTCAGTCTGTCAAGTATGAGCTAAGTGTTGGCTGTAGGAAACTCCCACATTTCAGGTATGAAACTTTTTCTCATGGGCTTATAGTTGTGGTAATAAAGCACACACAAAAATGACTATAGAGGGCTGGGAAGGTGGCTCAATGGTAGAGCACTTGCCTTGCATGCCTGAGGCCCTGGGTTCGATTCCTCAGCACCACATAAGCAAAAAGAAAAAAGCCGGAAGTGGCGTTGTGGCTCAAGTGGTAGAGCGCTAGCCTTGAGCTGAAGAGCCGAGGGACAGCGCCCAGGCCCAGAGTTCAGGCCCCACGACTGGACCAAAAAAAAAAAAATGACTATAGAACTCCAAGACTGTAGTATTGTTAGGAAATCAGGAAAAGAACAAACACGTGTGTTTGAGGAAGGTTTCACAGGGGAGCTGATGTTTGAGTTGGACCATGAAGATAGGCCTGGCAGGGAGAAGGGAACAGAATGGAACAGGGAGTGAGGATGGTCAGGGTGATTCCAATGGGTTCTTATTGGAAAACTTGAGAGATGTTTGTAGAAAAGGTCGGTTGATGGCATCAAATGGGGAGATGTCTTCTATGGAGCAAAGGATCCGCAAGTAGTGTAGTACTGTGCTTCCTTGAAGTGAAACTAGAGCTATCACCAAAGAAACATAACACCTCTTTGACTGTTGTCACTTTTCTGGTTAATTTCAGTGATTTGGATTAATAATTCTCAGTCACCACAGAGCTGCATCTCAAGTTGTTTCTTGCCTTCTTTTTCCTTCCCTTGTGTTCAATTGGTTGCAGGTGTTGATGATTCTACCTCCTCTGGTTTTGGTGCCTACTTCCTTCACTTCTTAATGTCACGGGATTTGTGGGCATTAATATTTCCTCCCCCTTTTTTTTAATCCCAGAAACTCCATAACATTTTTTTTTCTTTCTTCTGTCTTATGTATACTACCACACTTACCTTCAGTAGCTCCTCCCTGTTCGTTAGTTTGACACAGGCCAGCCTGGCATAAGCAGTATGAGCAAATACATTTATCGCTATATCCTTATATTTATTGTGTTTTCCAGGTCAATACTTGATTTTTGTGCTTTGTATTTTGAACTCAGTGTCTTTATTCATGTTGACTTTTTCTTTTTTCTTTTTGTCGGTCATGGGGCTTGAACTCTGGGCTTGGGCGCTGTCCCTGAGCTCTCAAGGCTAGTGCTCTACTGCTTGAGCCACAGCACCACTTCCGGTTTTTTCTGCTTATGTGGTTCTGAGGAATCAAACCGAGGGCCTCATGCATGCAAGGCAAGCACTCTACCACTGAGCCACCTTCCCAGCCCATGTTGACTTTTTCTATCTTACATGATCCCCTTGAGTCTCTAATGACTGTTATTACTTAAGTTTTAGAGCCATTGATGGAACTTCTTTTAAACCACTGTAACTGTAGAGTCTGCTCTCCCCTTTATTTGATTGTTTTAGTCAGTCATGGGGCTTGAACTCCCTGAGCTATTTTGGTCAAAGCTAGCACTCTACCACTTTGAGCCACAGCATCACTTCTGGTTTTCTGGTGGTTAATTGGAGATAAATGTCTCATGGACTTTCTGCCCAGACTGGCTTTGAACTGTGATCCTCAGATCTCATCTTCCTGAGTAGCTAGGATTACAGGCATGAGCCACCAGCACCCGACTTTGCTCTCTCCTTTTTGAGATAAGGTCATGCTGGCCATGCTGAGATAAAATCTAGGCTGGCCTTGAACTCAAGATAAAGCCCCCTCTAAATCCCCTAGCTCTGGAGTTACAGATGTGTACCACCATATCTCCTTTAGAGTTTGTCTTCTTGCATAAGTGCCTTAATCTCTTTTCTGTGCATAGCATATGACTCAAGTTTCTTCTGGACATAAACTGCCTTCTCTCAGTTTGACATAGTACTTTATAGTAGGTACTTGACAAGTATATTTTATATCAAAAATAGCTTCAGACTAAGATTGATGTGAAGAAAGTCCTTTGTGCAAACAAAATGCCATAAATATGAAAATAAAGTTTTCTACATAAGAGAATCTCTTCTAGAGAAATCTGCTGTATTGGCCTTGATAATTTTGATTAAGCTACATTTGCACAAACTGTAAGTGGCTTAACAGAGATTAAATTGACTTCCCATTTATGCTTCAAGAGTACATAGGGAGGGTTGGGAATGTGGTTTAGTGATAGAGCGCTTGTCTAGCATGCACGAAGCCCTGAGTTTGATACCTTAGTACCACATGTGCAGAAAAAGCTGGGAGTGGCTCAAGTGGTAGAGTACTAGCCTTGAACAAAAGAAGTTCAGAGACAGTGCCCAGGCCATGAGTTCAAGTCGCAGGACTGGCAAAAAAAAAAAAAAAAAAAAGTACATAGGGAGCTCTGTTCCTCACAGTCACTCAGGGAGAGAGCCATATGGGAAATTAAGTTGGTGTTCCAGTGGACTCTGGCTATCTGTCTCGATGTGGCACAGGCCACATTTAACTTTAAAGCAATATAGAGAATTGTATTAGCATATGTCTTGCAAAGAACCAAAATTATTTGGTGAACATTACTAATGACTAACATCTTCTGTGGGTGTCATGATTCACTGAAGATTAGAGATAGTAACTCATATGGTCTACTAAAACAAGTGCATTGACAAAAGTAAGAAAGAATAGTTCTAACTAGGCATATAAGGGTGGATTCAGAGTCAGAACTCAGAAGCACTTATTGTAAATGCAAATAGGCTAAGGGCAATAATACAGGGCAGTATATCATATTCCAGTTTTGACAGTCACTTCTGAGGGTATTACTGTTTTACAGCATTCTTTTTTTTTTTTTTTTGGTTCGGTTGTGGGGCCTGAACTCTGGGCCTGGGCGCTGTCTCTCAGCTCTTCAGCTCAAGGCTAGCGCTCTACCACTTGAGCCACAGCGCCACTTCCGGCTTTTTTTTTCTTTTTGCTTATGTGGTGCTGAGGAATCGAACCCAGGGCCTCATGCATGCAAGGCAAGCGCTCTGCCACTGAGCCACCTTCCCAGCCCCTTACAGCATTCTTAATAGTGCACATAGTAATAGTCTTGAGGTCCAAAAAATACAAAGGTTAAGTAAGCTGAATGTGTGGCTTATGTCTGTAATTATAGCACTTGGGTAGTAAAGGCAGCAGGATTGAAGAGTTTGAGGCTAATCTGGACTATGTAGAAAGTTTCAGGCCATGGGCTGAGAAGGTGGCTCAGTGGTAGAGCACTCGCCTTGCATGTCTGAGGCCCTGGGTTCGATTCCTCAGCACCACATAAGCAAAAAGAAAAAAGCCAGAAGTGGCGCTGTGGCTCAAGTGGTACAGCGCCTTGATCTGAAGAGCTGAGAGACAGCACCTAGGCCCAGAGTTCAGGCCCCACGACCGGACCAAACCAAACAAAACAAAAAACAAAAAAAAAGAAAGTTTCAGGCCAGCCTAGACTATATAAAAAAAAATAACGGTCTCTGTAGGCACTGGTAGCTTATGACTGTAATCCTAGCTACTTAAAATACAGATCTGAGGATCATAGTTCAAAGCCAGCCTGGGCAGGAAAGTCCAAGAGACTTTTATCTCCAATTAAACATCAAAAAGCTGGAAGTGGAGTTGTGGCTCAAGTGGTAAAACATCAGCTTTGAGTGGAAAAGCTAAGGGACAGCTCGTAGGCCCCGAGTTCAAGCCCCCCCCCCCCAGTACCAGTATGCTCTCACACACACGGATTAGAATAATAAACTAATATTTGAGGAGATTTTACTTTTGAAAAATAATAGAAGCAAAGTGCTGCTGGTTCAGGAGATAAAATATCTGTATTTCTGTCTTAGCTCTGTTACTAACTGGCTGGCTGACCTTTGAGCAAGTGTGGTTTTTTTGAAGGAGTTTGGGAGGAAGTTCAGTGGATTGGGGCCAGGGCTTTTTGCAAGTCCTGTATCACTGAGTCCAAGTTTCTTTTTTCTTTTGGTCGGTTGTGGGGCTTGAACTCTGGGCCTGGACACTGTTCCTTTCCTCTTCAGCTCAAGGTGAGTGCTC